CTCTTCTCTCCCAGTAGTGCTTTGTTAGAGAAGTTTACAAGGGTTGGGGTGAGGCCACTGACATCAAAATGTTATCTTATCATTAAATCATACACCCTTAAGACTGTAATGGATTCCCCAAGGTCATTCAGTCCTAGCAGCAGGGCATTTAACCTATCTTTGGTAGATTGATAGCTCTTTCATTTCTAAAGCCATTCTCAAGGATAAGAGTCTACATTCTGGCTATTTCACAGAAATCAGATGTGCTCTCTTAGTAGTCTGGAGGGTTGGGGGTTTTTTTTGTTTTTTTGTTTTTTTGTCCTGAGATAGATATTTACTTAGTAAACTGTAGAAGTGAAAAATCAGCATTTAAGGAAAAATGTTTAAAAATAATAAATAAAATTAGTATTTAAAGAATTTAAATAATAATAATAAAAATCAGCATTTAAAGAAAATATTTTAAAAATTAAAATTGAAATAAAAAAATCAGTATTTAAAGAAAATCTTAAACAGAACAACTGTTTAACTCTCCAGGTGTACTCATAAGTTCCACATGCAGAAGTTCCTTTTATATCCTTTAAAATTTTTTTTATATCTTGTTTTTACATCACCTTTATTTCCAAATACATTCCTCTCCTTTCCCTTACCCATCAAGCTACTTCTTATTTCAAAATATGAAGAAGAAAGAAGAAAAAATATTCGTCAAAACCAATCAGTATCAATTGGATCTGATAGTAAATGCAAAGTTCCATTCCCATAGTCCCCCACTTCTGCAGAGAAGAAAGGGAGGTATATTTGCTCATCTCTTCTTAGAGCACAGCATGGCACAGTGGAAAGTGTGCTGCATTTTGAGCCCATGGACCTGAGTTTGTATCCTGACTCTGAATGACATTCCCTTAGCTGGGCCTCAGTTTCTTAGCTTTATAAACTGAGAGATTTTACTAGATGATCTTGAAGGGTCCTTATCTGTGATCCTAAGACAAGCTTTGTAATTATAATTGTGTAGAATTCAGCTTGGACTTTTGTTGTGATTCTTTCCATTGCCTTGGGGTAGTCACTGTGCATTAGTCTATGTAAGGCATCCAATGATTCTTTCCATTCTTCATGTTCCTAATTTCTTACACCAAAGTAATCCAATTACATTCATGCACCATAATTTGTAAAGCCATTCCTCAATGGATGATCATCTCTTTTATTGTCAATCCTTTGCAATTACAAAAAAAAAAGGGGCTACCACAAACATTTTGATGTATTTAGCACCTTTCTAATTTGTCTTCCTTCGGATATCTGCTTAGCAGTAGGATCTCTAGGTCAAAAGGTATGGATATTTTAGTTACTTTCTTTGAGTAATTCTAAATGTCCTCCTCCTTCAGGAAGCCTTCCTAGATTTTGTCCCTCACCTCCATTGGCTCCCAGCTCTAAGAGTTCTTTCCCTCTCTTCATTTTTCTTAGCATACTTTGTCTGGATCTCCCCTTTGCTCTTTTCACATCCTCCACTGAATCATGCTCATATGTGTCCATGTTAGAGTTCCACCATAAAAGCATAAGCTCTGCGAAGGCAGGGGCTATGTTGTTTTTCATCTTTCATCTTTGATTCCCAATGCATAGTAACACCAGGTGCTTATTAAATGCAGCTAGGTGGCACCATGGAAAGAATGCCAGGTCTGGTGTCAGGAAGACTTATCTTCTTGAGTTCAAATCTGGCCTCAGCCACTTACTAGCTATGGGACCCTGGGCAAGTGACTTAGCCCTGTTTGCCTCAGTTTCCTCATCTGTAAAATGAGCTGGAGAAGGAAATGGCAAGCCACTCCAGTATCTCTGCCAAGAAAACCCCAAATGGGTTAAAGAAGAGTTGGACATGACTGTTGAATCTAACTGAATCATTTTCTGGACAAGAAGATGTTGCCACATCAACTGTAAAGTGTATGAGTGGGTGGAGGAGGAAGTAGGGCATTACAGGTATGAGGAATTACAGACGTACCAGTGCAGGTGTGGGAACTGACCAACTCTGCAAAGAGGGCATCTGAGCTAAAGGAGAGGAGACCTCAACAAGAAACGTGGGGTAAAGGACTACTCCAGAGGGCACTGGACTGTGTGCCTGAAGGCCTGAGAGGGAGGGAACTAACCTGTGAATATGCCCCTCTTTGTGGGTTGACAAGGATAAATAGCAGCCTGGGTTCTTGGTTACCCTCCTTGTTGGCCCAAGAGGAGAAGCACCAATCCAGAACTTGGATACATGCCCCCCAACAGCTTCTTGAGGTGGTTAGTGCAGCTATCACCACTTTTCAGATGAAAAAACTGAATCTCAGAGAGGCCGAGTGATTTCCCAGAGATCCCACGTCTAGGAAGTGGCAGAGCCACGTCTTGAATCCAGATCTCCTAATCCCATTATCCTTCAAAGCAGAAGCTGACTCTCCGTGTGTTCAGAAGGACAGATCATTCCTTGTTTCCAATGTGTGTGGGTGGGGGGAGATGTACCTGCTTCCCAATCACCCTTCTTCTGTGTCTATCTTCTGCTCTTGTCTCACTCCCATGTTCTGAATTAATGGTCTTATTTATTTCTGACACCTTGAACCAGGTGAGAAAACAGTAACTGAAGGGTGTTTATTCTTTCTGCCACATTCACCCTTTGTCCTCACCATCTGGCTTCCTCCCCCCTCCCATGCTAGCAAAGCTGGATCATAGGGTCATATATCCAGAGCTGAAAGGGACCCTAGAGTCCTCCCAGCCCAATACCCTTATTTTACAGATGAAGAAACTGAGGCCCAGAGAAGTTCAGTGATTTGCCCAAGGAGACACAGGTAGTAAGTACTAGAACCAGAATTCTGCAACTCCCAAGTCAGGTCCCTTTTACACTGTACCACACAACCTTGTCCTAAGACACCATCCCTTCTTCTCAACGTTATATTACAAATCTTGCCAAGAAATCAGCAAAACCTCAATGAATGGGGAAGTCAATCAGGGGAGAGGAAACAGGGAGTGAAACCAATGCCCAGCTGAGTGCTACTCACTTCTTATTAGGAAGACAAATCTCACAGTGCAGGAGATGAGGGATAAGGAGAGGCTATAGGGTATTAGTTTGGAAGATCCCATAAGGAGGAAGGAAAAAAAAAAAAGGTCAGGAAGGGGGTAAGGAGACCATTCAGGAAAATCACTCATCTCTTCCCTTTCTGAGCCACTGTCAATCTGAACCCAAATTTAACCTTTGGGATGGGTTAGACTGAATGAATAGACTCATCCAGCTGCCAAGGCTCTTCGGGGGCCATCTTCCACAGAGCTAAGATCTGCTGTGCTTGACAGATTGGGAGTTGGCAGGGAGGACCCTTTGTTTTAAAAGACCTCCACAGAGATCATTTAGTCTCCCTCCTTCCAGAGTTAAGCCATCCTCTCTACTAGCTGCAGTTTTAAATTAGGTCCTGACTAGTGTAAATAATAAATCTCGTGGTCATATGTATTTGAATTCTCACTATTCAAAGTTATAATTATATAAAACATGGTCACTGGTCCCGGTCCAATGGAAGTAGGCTTCACAAATTCAAATAATGTGAACGCTCCCCAGGCTTCTTTATCACCACTGATTGGGACCTAGCTATAATGAATGTGCAGTATCTAAAGGTAGCTCCATTTCTCTGAGTTACCCTTCACAAATCTCACTCACCTCAGAAGACAGTGGCTCACACAGGGTGCTTCCCATGGAAGCACTTAGGACATGTCTTTAACAATGTAAACACATTTTACTAAGAAAGTGACTAATATGTCCATATTCTTTGACAGAAAGATCCCAATGCTAGGCATATATTTCAGGGCAGGTCAAAGTAAGAAATAAAGGTTCCATATCCTCCAAATATTAACTTTTTTGTGGTAGCAAAGAACTGGAAACAAAATAAATACCTATTAATTATGACATGGCTAAAGAAATTGTGGTCTATGAATATATGGTCTGCACCAACAGAAATGATAGAACTGAAGAATTCAGAGACTCACATGGATACTTATATGAACTGATGAAGAATGAAATAAGCAGAACCAGGAAAACAATCTGCACGGTGACCATGTACAATAACAACAGCAACAAAAGGAAACTGAAGACTTTTTAATGATCAAACTTTTCCCTGAATAAGAAAGGAAAAAATATAGCTGCTTCCCTTCTTTCTAGAATAGGGATACTGTGGGTGTGGAAAATTATATAGCCTGTCTTAGCACTATTGAATTGCTTTCCTTCCTCCTCTCCCTCCTTCCCTTCCTACTCCTCCTTTCTTTCCTCCTCCTTCCTAGTCCAATACTCTTATTTTACACCTTTCTTCCTTCCTTCTTCCCTCCTTCCTTCCTCCTTCCTTCCTTGCTTTCTTCCTTCTTCCCTCTCTCCTTCCCTCCTTCCCTCCCTCCCTCCCTTCCTCCTCCTCCTTTCTTTCCTTCCTTCCATCCTTCCTTCCATCCTTCTTTCCTTCCTTCCTTCCTTTCTTTCTTTTCTCCCTCCTTGAAACAAGAGGTGGCTCACTAGATAAGGGAGAGCGGAGAGATATATTAAAATGAAGGTAGTATATAAACAAAAGAGTATAAATATAGATTAAAATTAACAACAACAAAAAAAGGAATGTGTTTATGTGTCTCTGTCTAGGATGGGGGGAGTGTGCAGGGCAAGGAGAAAGGCAAGTGTACTCTGGGAACTCATCCTTAATATTCCCAGGTAATTTGCCCACGCGGTCTAGTCTCTAAAAGGACTAAAAAGAGGAACATTTTCAGTGACCTGACAGCCAATTCAAATTGGATAGGCATCCCCTTGGGGGAAGAATTTTGAATTCTATTCAAGAAAGTTGGGTGGTCGTGGTTTGGGGGCCTTTAAAGGGAGGGCTAGGGATGGGAACAGGGCTAAAGAATCAATTTCCCAAAGAAAATGGAAATAAGGATTCCCAAGTCCAAGTCAGTTTTTTCAGTCTCTGCCTCTGAGAGGTTAATGAACAACTCCCATTCCCCCACTTCTATTTCATTCTGCTTTAGTGGAAGGGGCAGCCAGCACTCACCTGACACAAAGGCCACTTTTTCCTTTAGGATAGGGAGGACGTCAGCAGCTTTCAAACCATCATTTCGAAAAGAACCTGCAGAACATGGAAGTCATTGAGTCAAAGTCAAATAGAGAAGGGGACCAAACCTCAGCCCCAACCATGGTCTCAGCCTCTCCTCACCCCCACCCGATCCTGCTGAGGAGAAATGCCTGCCTCATCACTCCCCGACAGACCAGAGTCCAATCGAATGAGCATTTATTAAGTGTCTACCATGTGAAAGGCATGGTGGTGGGCACTGATGATTCAGAGACAAAGGGGAAAGAGGCCCTCCCCCCCTCCTCTCAGGAAGCTTACGTTCTCCCCTATAGATACAGCAGATAAATACATAAGCACATGTATGAGAATTTGAGGCAAAGGGAGGAACACTGATAGCTGGAGGAGCTAGAAAGGCTTCCTATGGAATTGACACCTGAGTTGAGTCCTGAAAGGAAGCAAGGAATTTTAAGAGGCAGCAGGGCAGAGAAAGGGCACGAGGGCCTGAGACAGAGTTCCAGGCTCTGAAAACAGGAAGTAGACCACTTTGGTCAAAAGGTAGAGTCCATGAATCAAAGTAATATCCAATAACACTACAAAGTTAGACTGAAGCCAAACAGTGAAGAGCTTTAAATGCCAAGCCAAGGACTGTTGTATTTTAAGCTAGAGGAAGAAGGGAGCCACAGCAGGTTTTTAAACAGGGGAGTAACTCACTTAGATGTACACTTCCCAAGATTATTTTGGCAGGGGCCTGGAGCATGAACTTTAACAGACAAGGAGACTAATTAGAAGGCTATTGTAATAATCCAAGCAAGAAAAGATAAGGGTTTAAACTAGGGACTAATAGGGGGCAGCTAGGTGGTGCAGTGGATAGAGCACTGGCCCTGGATTCAGGAGGACCCGAGTTCAAATCCGGCCTCAGACACATAACACTTACTAGATGTGTGACCCTCGGCAAGTCACTTAACACCCATTGCCCAAGCAAAAAACAAAACAAACTAGGGACTAATCTAATGCCAAGCCAAAGGTAAAAGTTTCCAAGGGCTCAAGTCACTGCTATTCATCCTTCTACTCCTAAAAGATAAAAATAGTTTTAGTCTCACACTAATCCTTCTCTTTTCCTCCGAAATTCTTTCTGTCTCTCATCTATGTGTGTGTATCTGTCTCTCTGTCTCTGTTTCTCTCTCTCTCTGTCTCCCTCCCCCCCTCTCTTTCTCTGTTTCTCTTTCTCTCTTTCTGTCTGTTTGTCTGTCTGTCTGTCTCTCTCTCTCTCTCACACACACACACACACACTACACCACACTTTGTCTCCACAGGAGTCAAGGTCGGTGTAGATAGATAACCTTCTGATCTTAAAGCTCTAAGCATTTCCATCTTCCCTTTCCATATAGGGCCCTACAAATGATAGTTGACATTTTTCAGGTTCATAAAATAAAGTACAAAGAGTCCTTAATAGACTAATCCAACCCTGAATGGGTCAGATGCAAAGCAGAGGACTGAGCCCCGTTCCTCTTTCTTAATCATCCCCATCATCTACTCTTCTTTCATCACGATCATTATTTAACAATGAGTAATAAGCTGGGCTTTTATTGTTGTTGTTGTTGTTGTTGTTGTTAAATGTTGGTAAAGACCTCCACAGAAATTCTTTAGCCTCCCACAATAATCTATTGCAAAGTCTTCAATCACCCTCACGGTTGGGATGTTCTTTATGAGACCTAATCGAGTTCTTGTGGGGGGCCTGGAGTCAGGGGCACTGGACCACAAGTGGAGTGGGAAATGAAAGAAGAAAACGGCAGACTTTGGATTGAAAGGGCAGTAGCCCGACCCAGTGCCAGATGCGTGGGAAGGGAAGAACCATGGCATCAGAAGCAGAGAACTCCAGACCAGCACGTTGAACCCCAGATCCTTTAATTAACATGCTTTTACAATTACAGTCCTGATCCACTCCCTCGGAATCCCATCCCCTCCTGATTCCTTCCTGGTATTTGTTGCTTGTTTCTCTTTGAAACACAACACATATGCGCCCCTGGAAACATAGCCTCTCTTCTATCGGCCTCAGTGGGATACAGGCAGGAAGATCACAGAGCTTGGGGCCTCTGCCTGACATCTGTCTCCTCACTTCCTGCCTCCTCCCTTAGGGACTAGCTCATAATCTGCAGGGCAGTGGGGGTGAGGGTGGGGATGTGGGAGACCGAGGCTCACAGTATCCACAGCTGGGAGAATCCTTAGAGATCATCTAACCCACCCCCTCTCATTTGACTGATGAGAAAGCTGAGGACCCAGAGAAGTAACATGACTTTTTCAAGGTCACAAAATGAAGTAGGTAGCAGAAGGTGGGGCAAACTCAGGTTTCTGATACCCGGAGCCAGGGTTCTTTCCACTATACCAAGTTACCATTCAGGATAAAATGTATAATCCTTATCCCAGGAGTGAATCAATGCAGAGTTCACTGCTCACATTGGGGCTGCTAGAATAGAATAGCATAGCTCCAAAAATGGTTAACGTTTATAGAATGCCTACTATGTGCCAGGGCTTTACAATTGTTATCTCATTTGTTCCTCGAAACAACCCTGGGAGGTAGGTGTCATTATTATCCTCATTTTACAGTTAAGGAAACTGAGGCAAACAGAGGTGAATTGACTTGCCCAGGGTCATACAGCTAATAAATGTCTGAGGCTGAATTTGAACTCAGGTCCTCCTGACTCCAGGTCCAAGTCACCAGCTGCCCATCTACTCCAGGGTATTCACAGAATCATAAAATCTCAGCATTGGAAAGGACCTAAGAGGTCACCTCATTCAATATCCCTACCTGATTTAGGAATAACCTATTGGACATCCCTGACAAATGATCATTTACCTGAAAACACCTGATGATGGGGAACTCTCTACCTCCATAAGCAGCCTGCTCCACTTTTGGGCAGCAGTAATTGTTAGACAGGTTTTGTTTCCCCCAACATCAAGACTAAATCTGCTTCTTTGTAACTTCTACCCACTACTCTGCCTTCTGGCCTCTGGGGAGACTGTCTTCTTTTTTAAAGGGTTGTGATGCCTCTTCCACCACCCCCCCCCCACATACACAATTCTTTTCTTTTTCAGGTTAAAAATTACCAACTCTTTCAACCAATATTTGTATGGCACAGTTTTGATCCCCATTTCCCCTTGGTTGACTTTCTCTGGATACAAGCTATTTAGAGACTTAACATAGCAATGTGGATATCTCCTCAATTCAGGTTGCTAAAATTAAGGACAGGAACTTTGCCCTTCCCTACCTTAAAGATCTTATGTTCTCTTGACACATCTTCCATTGTCCTTTTTTCCTCTTAGAGAAGGGATGTCAATAGAGCTAACAAGCTTCTCGAGACAGATGAACCACAACCACCCAAGTTCAAAGTTGAGGGCGCCATATTCCCCTGGTAGAGTCACAAGTTACCTTTATTTTCAGTCAATAAATTAACAAACACTTGTCAAGCCTCTACTCTGTGTCAGACACTATGCTCAATGCTGGGGGATTTGAGGATGAATATGAAGCAGTTTCTGCCCTTGAGGAGCTTATATTCGACTAGAAGAAACAATATATACACATATCAGTATATACAAAGCAAAAACAAGGCTTCTTGTTCAGGGCTTGTGGGGAGTGGGGAGGAAGAGAGCTAGGAATTGGGGAAACTAAGCTGTCAAGGAAACAATTATAAACTTCATTCAATCTTCTGGACACAATCTGAGGCACAGCCAAGATGAATACTTTTTCTATTCTTTGCCATAGGCCTCCCTAGCTTGTGAGTAAGGTGTGCCAGTGTACCCCAAAGAAGAAGCATTCCCATTGGTTTTTCCCCTCTTTCTCAGGGCAAGGACCAATGGTAATGCTCCCTCAGGGAGAGCCAAGCACACCAGACTGTTTGCACAATCCTTCCTTTTAGGAATCCAACCGTGTCTTTGTCTGTAGCTCACCACGGTGACTCTCCAAAGTCTACATTCCAAGGTTGTCCATGCCTCTGGGTCAATGAGTCAATGAGCATTCATTAAGTACCTACTATGTTCCAGACCTTGGGCACCCTGTAGGTAGAGACTCTCCGACTTTTTTCAAGGATACTCCATTTTTCACTTCCTGGAAATCTCATTGCCACTTCTGATTTGTTCCATGAAGTTTGTATTCAGTCAAAGGGCCACCCTTGAGGACCTAGAGGGCCACGTTTGGCCTTGAGGCCACAGGTTCCCCACCCCTGTCCTAGAACATCATCAAGTAGAGCAGGAAAAGAAGTCTCGTCCTCTCTACCGGTAATTCTACCAAATCTAAGAGAGGGAATGAATGATTCAACCCCAGGAAATATCTTGGAGGTAAGTCTTGAATAAAGTTAGGAAAAGTAGAGAAACTCTGTTTAGGTAATAAGGCATTCCAGGTGGGTTGCCAGGGTTCTCCTGGCCCATTTTTCTCCAGGTTCATGAAGAAAAGTTGCCTGTTCTGCTGACAGCCTCTATGTAGTGTCAAGAATGAAAAGACTCCTAAACAGAGGTATGGCTCTGAGAGAAGCTGAGCCATAAGCAAGAAACAGAGAACCAATGTGAGAATCTGCACCAAGAATAAATGGAAGATGGGGTCAATTATGTGCTGGGGAAGGGAGGGGGAACGTCGGCTGTGGAGAGGCTTCAGAGCCAACTGGTGGAAGTTTGGCTCTGAAATGAGTCTGAACCACTCCAGGCTTCTGACAGGAAGCCAGCTGGCCACAAATGGTTAAGTTCTGGGAGAATCCCAACATAGCCCTGGACGTGGTTCTCCCTGAAGGAGTAATGTGAAGCTGTGTTCCCCTTACCAGGCCAGCCAACACCTGTTTCTCATCAGGTAACATCAACCTCCATCACCTACCTGGACCTAAAGGAAATAGGGAGGGAGCAGGAAGACTCTTATTCTTCTAGATCCCAGTTCTTCATGCCTTCCCTAGGGCAAACCTAATTAAGAGACCTCCCTCATTCCTCCCTTCCTCCCTTCTCCCAAGGGCTCCACTGACAATTTAGCCACATGAGAGGACAATGGACCAGGGCCCAAAATGACTTTTCCCGAACAT